TCCTTCCTTCCTTCCTTCCTTCCTTCCTTCCTTCCTTCCTTCCTTCCTTCCTTCCTTCCTTCCTTCCTTCTTTTCTCCTTATCTCTCTCTCTGTCTTTCTTTTTTCTTTTCTTTCTATTAACTCTTAGAAAGCTGGCACCATTCCGGGCTGTACAGAGGAGAAATGGAGGAGACAGAAAAAGTTCAGAAATTTATCTTTAGAAAATGAAGCATACATTCCTCTGGAATCTCTCTCTCCAATGAAGTCCTTGCTACTACGCACCCTGACTCCAGAAGGAAAAGACAACAACAAACAACGACAGTGGATTATAACTCCAGTTTAAAAAAAATGAACACGCTGTCATCAACGAGGTTTAATTTCACTACTCTGGCAGGGAATATTATTTTTCAATTGCCCTTCTAGATTTTCTTCTTAAGTTTAAATTTTAATGCTCCTCTTCTCTCACTGTGTGACCCATTTTTTATATATAAAAAAAAGAAATAATAGAAGGTTCCCCTTTATGATATGTTTTCAATAGTGGAAGTCTCCGAAGATCTATAATATTATTATTTATCTGAAATTTGTGTCTGTGAGGGCGGTGTACACGATGTAATTGCTTTAACATGTTTTCATAAATTACATTCGGAAATGTGTCATAGTAAATTACCTTTGTAATAAAATGTAAAAAATGCAAATGGCTGTGGTCTTTATTACGTTTTAAACCATTGGTTTATCTGCTTTATTTCACTTGTCCCAGGCCCCCTCTGCTGGCTGAGGGGCCGGCACAGTTGGGAGCGGAGAGACCAGTCCTGTGCGTAATCTTGCAGACAAGGACTCGGGGGTCATTTCCTTGTCTCCCGCAGAAAAGACATTATCCTGCTCCTATTTACATACTTTTCAATATTTGTCAAACAATCATAAATTATAAATTAATGAAATGTTTGACAGTCTTCAGAGATCAGACTAATGAAGACAGTTACCTTTTTTGGTGGAAGCGGCAGCTCACCCTGGCAAGTTTAATGACATTTGGACGCCTGCGCGGAATTAGGCTTTATTAGATTTGCCCCTCCCTCCCGCTGCGGCTCAGCTGTCAGCAGCCCAGTCACCTGCCACAGGTGCGGGAACACAGCAACTTCCTCCAGGAAAACTTCCAAACCCGGACTCCGCAGCCTTCATCCTGGGAATGAACGTCAAACTAATCTTACAAGACCACCGGACTCTTTCTTAACGACAACAACAATAACAACACAAAACTGATTTATGATGATTACTTTTAATGACTTGCGGTTGGTTACCTCGGCTGCACTAGCAGGCGGAAATACTTTTAACGAATATGCAGGCGGAGCGATGCAGTGGTTCCAAAGGGACTGACAGCAATACAGAAATCGGGGAGAAGGGTAGCCCGGGTCTGATTCTTTCTGTTTGTCTGTCTGTTTGTTTTTAGTTTTATAAAAATCGGCTTCCGAGGAAAGCCGAGATCTACAGTTGCTCACACCACACGTAGAATCAGGCCTTGGCTTTCTACCCACCCAGCTCCATTCCTGGCTGAGATAGAAATCTCCCCCACAGTGTCCCTGCCCCTCCAGGGTGTGGTCCACTGGACCCACGCAGGAGAGCTGCAGGTGTGTCGCTCAGTCCCAGGGCTGGGAACGAAGCCTGGGTCCACGGGAGACCCGGCCTTTCCCTGTGTTCTCTTCATGATGGATGGCCACTGGGCTTTTAAATACAATTATAGGTGATGAATTAAGTGCCACTCGAGAGGTCAAATGATCCGAGCTGGCTGTGGATTCGAACAGCAGAATCCCTCGGGATAAATGCATGCCAAAGCACACCTATCGCCCACCAAGGTGGAAAAGAGTAAGGGTGTTTTTTTTAGGTGGGGGGGAGGAGGGGTCATCTGATGGTAAACAAAGTGCAGGCCACCCGACTGCGTTTGATCAGCAAATCATCTGGCAAATTTCACCAACCCACGTTCCCGTCCCCCCTCCCCCTCTGGGGTGGATTTGTGGGTGCTCACAACCGAGTGTATTTAAGGGAGAGCCAGAGGAGCCGATCCCTGAGAGAGAGGAAGAGAGAGGAAGACCAAACGGGGAGGAGGAGAGAACGAGTTGTGGGGGGACTGGTGAACATTTACGGGAGTTTCCCTCCCCCCCCCCGTTATACCCCCAACCGGACTTTATAAGGTTTCTTTCTTGCTTTTATTTTTTTATTTAAATTCCTTTATGCCAACCTGGCTTTGAACCCAGGCTGAGTTTCTGGCCAGATGGATGGCGGGCGGGCCGGGGTGAATGGAAGGGATTTCCTGTTTCCTCAGAGAACCCGGATTTCCATGCTTAACCTTTGCCCCTTTATAAAAAAAAAAAAGATCAGCAATCAAAACGATAGTCCAGTAAAGGTCACAACCGAAACCTATGAAAAATAGATGTCAGGGTCACCTCAAAATATTTCCAAGCACAACTCCCCCCCCCCACACCTTGTAAAATACACAACGGAGTTATTAGAGGACGGCTCGCTGAGGCCAGCCGGAGTTCTACCATCAGGGAGAATTGATATGTACCGCGAGGAAAGTAATTATGTGCCATCCGGAGGATCAGCGCCCCCGCCCCGTGCAATTGTTAATCCTCGCGCACACCGTCGACTCTAGTTGCAAATAGCTTAATTAAGCTATCCACGTAGACCACACGTCTCGGGCTGCTTACGCGGGCGCCGCGTCTTGTCTCAATTTATTGGAACAATGAATGCCACTGAGCCACCTCGGGTGGAGAGTCCACCACCCAACGCCCAGCTTCTCTTTCTGATTCCTCCTGCCTGACCCAGAAAGCCGGGAATGAAGAAGGAGAGCAGGGGAGGGGTGGCCTTTGTCCTGTTTAACACTCAGGGTCCAGTAAAGTCACCCGCACTTGGGATGCTGGGGAGGGACAGACACCAGTGCCCGGGACAGGACCGGGTGCCACTGGAGGTGACGGTGTGTGCTTCTGTGGGGAGCATCCCCCATCTTCCATTTTCACCAGCTCCTAAGAGCCAAGCCAAGCCTGGTCTCTGGGCTGGGGACACGTGCAGACTACGGAGGTGCAGGTCTCCTGGGGTCACATGGCGAGGTGCTGGCCGGTGCCCCTCACCGGACGGCCAGCCGGGAAGTCTGTGTGTGTGTGTTTGTTGTTCATCCCGAGGTTAAACAACAGGCCACATCCGGCTCAACTCAGTCGCTTGCGCCTCTTTACAAACGACCAAGATACAAACTTTGTGTCAGGGAGTCCCCCTGGGTCCCAGGGTCCCAGCCTGGTCCCCCCCCAGGACAGGTGCACCTGTGCCTGGGGGGCCGGGGCCGCAGGGGGGGCTGAGCTCAGCACTTGGTACCACCCATCCTTTCCCTTTCCCTTTCTCCTTTCCTTTCCTTTCCTTCCCTTTCCTTTCTCTCCTTCTTTCCTTCCCTCCCTCCCTCCCTCCCTCCCTTCCTTCCTTCCTTCCTTTCCTTCTTTCCTCCCTTACCTCCCTTCCTCTTTCTCCTCCCTTCCCCCCCTCTGTCTCTGTCTCTCTCCCTCTCTCTTGTTCTCTCTCAAGCATCCTTCCACAACTCCCTGCGTGCCAGGCAGACCTGGATCTTGAGCCTGAGATGCCCAGGGCATGGCAGGGTGGGCTCAGGAGGCAAACTCACGGTAGAACAAGGTCCTGCCGGACGCCCAGGACCTGGTAGAGACCAGGACCCAGACCCAGCCAGGCCAGACTCCACCCACCATGCACCAGGAGTCGGGGTGTGGCTGAGCGGTGGAGGGTTTCAGCAGGTACAGGCCCTGAGTCCAGTCCCCACCCAGAAGAGAGCAGGTGGGGAGGGGAGGGGGATTTCTCAGGGCCCCCTCCGCGTGGCTGGACTCCTGGGGGGATCTTCGGTTTTTGCTACACTGTGGAGGAAGGCATTGATTGACAGGTGCTTCTGGTCCCGGAGCTTTCTTTTAGGGCCTGAGAACAGGTAAGGAAAGTGATTTCCATAGTCTCTGAGAAGACCTCTCCTCCCAGCCTCCTATTTGTCCAGGGCTTTGGGGGTGTAGCTTTGGGGATAGATCCGTTCCCTAGCATGAGCAGAGCCCTGAGTTTGA